AAACTCTAGTTAAATTATAAATAAATTAAATTAAATGTGAATGAAATTATTAAACTTTATTTTTGGGTATAGAGTTTGCAAATGATGTGCTGGTGGGCAGAAGATCCAAATTGCGATGAGTTCAAATACCATCTTGCTAGACTTCCTGATTATCTATGGGTTGCAGAAGATGGAATGACGATGCAAGGTTTTGGGAGTCAGAATTGGGATGCCACTTTTGCCACCCAAGCTATAATTGCCAGTGGCATGGTAGAAGAATATGGAGACTGCTTGAAAAAAGCTCATTTCTATATCAAAGAATCACAGGTATGGTAAAAAAAATTGATCAAAATGTAGCAAGATTTTTTACTTTATTTTATTTTGATGATGACGGAAACCCATAGTTACTACCTGAGCATGTGCACGAGGTAAATCTCGCTTTGTGATCCTAGCCGGCAAAGAACTACAATGAGATAAACCAACTTAGGTTGCCTATCATAACTGATGGGCTCAAATCAAGAAGGCCAATAGGATGCTCATGTTAGGAGTTAAACTTGTAATCTTGTGGTTAAGGGTGTCAATATCGGCTAGCTCGTCCCACTGTGGGTTTTAATTTTTGTGGGCCTTTGCAGGCCCGCCGGCAAAGCCCGCAAATTAGAATTCTTCAACCCTAGGCGGGCTAGCAAGCCCAGCATGCTAGCACGGGCAAATTATATTATGCACCGCGGTGCATAATCAATTATGCACCGCGCGTCTTTTTTTTTAAATAAAAATTAACAGTGTTTATTTCCGCCGTTTCGCACCCTTTTGCAAAAAGTAACTCTGTTATTCAGTGTCATTTTGTATACACTGCAGTTTCAGTTGAACATAACTACAGTTTCATTTCGATATAACTATAGTTTCATTCGATATTTATAGACTCAAATATGTGAAAATGTTATTTAATTTTATTTTATATACACTATAGTTTCATTAAAACACAACTACATGATCATTTTGATATAATTACAGCTTCATTGTACAATATACACTCAAATATGTGAAATGTTATTCAGTTTCAGTTTATATACAATGCAGTTTCATTTCACTATAACTACAGTATCATTTTGATATAACTGCAGTGTCGGTTTAGATATATTGTAATGTCAGTTGGTGTTTAATACACCAAACAAACGGACTCCGTTAACTCTAACGGCGGGCCGTTTCTTTACTTAAAGAAACGGCGTCGTTTTTGACCGCGGTGCACATGCACCGCGGTCTATAATATAACGACTGGCTAGCACGAGGACCAACTTGAAATTTTAAAAAAATATTATAGCATTATTTTATATTATAATAATTTGACCTAAATAATACTCCGTATTGGATTCTTTTGTGTTTAAAAATTAAAATATTTAAAATTTTTAGTTTGTTTAATGGTTAGTTAGTATTGCAAGTCCGCGTGTAGCCCACACTTTTACGGGTCAATTTTTTTTGCCTTTAACCCACCCCAAGGTGAGACGGTTTAGGGATAACCGGCTTCTCTTCGGCCTACTTTAACTGCGTATCACTACTTGTTATTAAGTTAACAATTTGATCAACTTGGTGATGTTGTTTTTTCAATATAGCAAGTTTTAGCTACACAATCTGAGACACAACTTTCCAATTTGAACACTAATAAAAATATGCAGATAAAAGAAAATCCAAAAGGAGACTTCAAAAGTATGTACCGTCATGTCAATAAAGGATCATGGACATTCTCTGATCAAGACCATAGTTGGACTATCTCCGACGGCGCAGCAGAAGCTCTTAAGGCAATCTAATTTTATTTATTCAAGGCAATATATGCAAATTAGTCAGTTAATAAATAAATAAATCACCTCTATGAACTTTAATTTGGTGCAGTGTCTGCTACTCCTTGGGCAAATGCATCCGGAAATTGTAGGAGAAAAGGCCGATGCTCAGCGCTTGTATGAAGCTGTAGATGTTTTGCTTTATCTTCAGGTAAGCTTGTTAGGATAAGCTCTTAACACTATGCTAAAAGTTATAGCTGATACTCTGATAGCGAAGACGCAACTTTATTTCCTTATAAACCGTCATCACTTTTTCGAGAGACAGTATGCTAGACTTTAGTTCTTTACCGGCCCCCGCCCAACACATAGCCAATAGTGGTGGTTATTGACTACTAATTAACATTGTATTTCATGGTCTTACATTGAAGAGTCCCAACAGTGGTGGTTTTTCTATCTGGGAGCCTCCAGTTCCGCAACCATATATGCAACTATTGAATCCCTCTGAATTCTTTGCAGATATTGTAGTAGAGAAAGAGTAAGCTATGATCACAATTCTTCTTTCAACGACAACACCAGATATATAAATAAAGTGACTAATCAACTTCAATTCATACTAACTACTGGATATTATTGTGGATTAGGCATGTAGAACCTACTGGATCTATAATCAGTGCTCTTGCGGCCTTTAGATCTGAATATCCAAATTATAGACCAAAAGAAATTGATATTTCTATTGCAAAAGCAGTACAGTACCTTGAAGATGAACAGCAAGCAGATGGGTCATGGTATGGGTACTGGGGAATTTGCTTCCTCTATGGCACTTGCTTTGCCCTATTAGGGCTGGCGGCTGGTGGAAAGAATTACGAGAATAGTGAAGCCATTCGCAAAGCTGTTCACTTCTACTTATCAAAACAAAACCAAGAAGGTGGCTGGGGGGAATGTCTTGAATCTTGCCCAAGCATGGTACGGTATCGATTCGACCAATCTCAAGCTTACATATGTAAAAATCAGACAAATCAGATCAAGTTTTTAAAGAAAAAACGTCGTGTTATTTTCGTAATTATCATCAACTCCACTTTATAACTTAGAACACTATACTATGCACTTTGTAACAATTAATTGTGCAATTCTGAAAATTGTTGAGAAATGCATAGTATATTGTTCTAGATTGTATAGTAAAATTATTAATAACGCTTTATATTTGTCAAATTCTCATGCTCTACCGTTGATAATTTTATGGAGCAGAAATACATACCGTTGGAAGGGAATCGTACAAATTTTGTACAAACATCATGGGCAATGCTAGGACTCATGTACACTGGACATGTTAGTACTATTTAGTGAAATCTAATATTAATAGTATGTTTTGAAGCATATATGTATGCTCAAAGAACAACTAATGTAATTAAGGGTGTCTTTTTTTTTTTTTTTTTTTTTTTTTTTTTTTTTTTGTACTATGTATTTCCTTGTTTACTAGGCTGAAAGGGATTTAACTCCTTTACACAAAGCAGTTAAGTTATTAATCAATGCACAACTGGAAGATGGAGATTTTCCCCAACAAGTAAGTCAACTATTTTAATTAAACTATTTACCTCTCTACGTATATTTAATTTGTAATTCAAATATTGGAAAATTATTTTCTTGGTCCTAATATTTATAGAAAATTGCAATTTCAAATGTTCAATTATATTGCTAACACAAATATTAATATCCTTTCAAATGTTTACGTACAAGATGACGGTTTTGGTTTCTTAACTTGTTAACGAGACTTTAATTAATGGGTTATAGCTGCAAATTTCCTATGTTGACTAAAATGGTTTACATGTGCAACGTGAAAGTGATGCACTCTAAAAATCTGTATTGGTGGGGAATCAAAATCGCCACCTTATACAAAACTGGATGATCAATAATTCTTACATGCATTAACAATTCAAAAAGGTTGAAATTGCTACTTCATATAAATATAAAGACAAAACTAGCTACTTTTCTTTAAATATTTTTATCTTTTTCAAATACTTTAATTTTCTAATAATTAATAATTACAAACACATAATCAGGACATTACTGGAGTCTTTATGAGGAATTGCATGTCGCACTATGCACAATATAGGAGTTACTTCCCATTGTGGGCATTGGCTGAATATCGTAAACGTCTGTGAACATCCAAAAGTCACTAAATGCAGTGGAATTTTATGTATCCATTCTACCTCCAAGTTAACATGTAATCCTGTGGTGTATACTATGTTACTTTAAGAAATAAAAACCTGTGTATGATCGAGTTTGATTCTGTAACATTATATCAACTCCTATATTAGTTATAAATTATTTGAACAACTTTTGTCAGTTCAATTAGACAGACAAAATGAGATGTATGATGTAATAAAAAATTAAAAGTTTGTAGTTTACCATTTTGGGCTCGTAATTATTTGCAGAATTTTTCTCTCATAATTTTTTGTTTCTCCAATCCCATTATTTGCTACATTCTCTGGCCATCATTCATTTCATATATTCCTAAAGATCGACTTGATTGTTAATTTCTCAAAACTATCGAGACAAGTTATGTTGAAATGTTAACAAATTAGTCAACAAAAACTTTAGTTCCAAGTTGATGCACATTGAAAATAACACATAGCAGACTTAGCACGATTTGTAGTTTGTGAAACGACGTTAAAAAAATATAAATAAGAGCAACTAATAAACTGCTAAAAGGTAAGTGTGTAAAGTAAAAGTGAGAAATAAAATTTGATAGAGGTTTGAGAATGTTGTAGTTCATCTACTCTACGAGCTTGTTACTCTTCCTCATTATTCAACTCCGTGTTTGAGAAGATTGATTTTCCCCAACAAAAGAGACTTCTTGAAGATCTGGATCAGCTTTGAAGTTTCGAGTCTCTTCTAGTGATTGGATTGCATTGAAAGCTTATCTTTCTCACTTGATTTCTGTGATGACTTGAAAATTATATATAATTTCACTTATCTCTAGTATCTCTTTGTTACGATTGCTATTGAGAAAAGAGAAAAAGGAAAGTGATATCTTCATTCAACAAGAACAACGGTTACAGCTTGGCAGTTTAAATAGTAACGACCAGGGCTAAACTTGTCTTTTCGCACTTACAACTGCCCTAACGACTAAGCTACATCAAACGCTGCGTTTTGCTTAACTGCCCTAACAGCTCGGTTATCAAACGCTGCGTTTCAAGCCTTATAGAAAGGGTTCATTACAATACCCTCTCCTTAAACCCAACCTTGTCCTCAAGGTTTAAAACTGGGAAACTGAGACATGAGATGGTGGTATTCTTCCCATGTAGCTTCTTCTGGAGATAGGTTGGCCCATTGTACCAATACTTCTACTAGGGCTGCATTGTTTCTCTTCAAGATCCTTCTTCCCAAAATAGCCACATGTTCGGTTAGTGGTTGTCCATCAGGCCCAACCAGTGGTGGTTCCAATTGGACTGATCTGCCATGGCTGACTCTCCTCTTGAGTTGAGATACATGGAAAACTGGGTGGATCAGGGCCCCAGCTGGAAGCCTTAATCTATAAGCCACTTGCCCAATCTTCTCTAACACTTCATAGGGTCTAAAGAACTTAGAGCTGAGCTTGACACATTTTCTGATGGCCACAGATATCTGTCTATATGGTTGCAGTTTCAAGTAGACCCAATCACCTATCACAAATGACCTCTCTGATCTATTTTTATCAGCATAATGCTTCATTCTCTGTTGTGCTTGCCCCAAGTTATCTTTAAGTATGGATAACATGTGTATCCTATTATGTATCCAGCTCTCTGATCTCTCATTAGCTGACCTGGATGCATCATTGATGGCTAGTTGTGGAGGTGGGTATCCATACAAGGCTTGGAAGGGGGACATTTTTAATGAACTGTGGTAGTTAGTATTATACCAATGTTCTGCTAGGGACAGGCTAACTCTCCCATTGTTGGGGTTTATGTGAGCATACACATGCATCTGAGGTAAGTTTCCAGGCATCTATTGAGCCTTTCTATTTGCCCATCTGACTGGGGATGATAAGCAGTACTCATGTGCAACTTAGTTCCCATTCTTCTAAAAGTCTCTCTCTAAAATTTACACTAGTACAAAAAACATCAATAAAATTGAATAATTCGCGTCCAAAGTTTGAACTTTGGACGCCAAAAGTGTAATGCGGTGGCATTTTTGTAATTAAAATGCCACTATATAATTTGTTTTTATTATTTTTTTTAAAATTAAAAAGAACTGGCGTCCAAAGTTATAGAACTTTGGACGCCTATTATTAACCCGTCCAAATAATAAGAGTCCAAAGTACGAAACTTTGGACGCCTATTAGAGTTCCAAGATTATACCCGTTCGTCTTCATCAGTTTCTTCGTCGCGACTTCTCCAAAACCCTCGCCTCCACAGCCCCGTTCGTCTTCACCACTCCAAATCCCCATCTTCCGCCGCCGCTCGTGGTCTCCACAGCCATCGTCATCGCCCCCATTGTCGTTGATACAGAGCTCTCGCTGCCGCCGTCGCTCATCGACTCCTCCATCGCCGGCGGTCTCAATGTTATGACCTTAGAAGATGAAACCAAAGATTTGGGAATCAAGAGAGGAAGGCAGAAGGAGAAAGATCAAAATAATTCTAAGTGAGGGAAGTCGGGGGACCAATACGACATCGTTTGAAGGCAGCGGGTAGGAGCCGTTATTTCACTTAAGCAAACGACGTCGTCGGATGCGTTGGTTGGGCGGAATTTAAACGAAGCACAAAACGTCGACGTTTGGAGTATAGCCGTTGGAAGAAGATACCAGACGACGTCGTTTCAAAGCTAGCTTGCTGAATAGGATTGCAGCTGAGAAAGCGGAAGTTTGTTATGTTATTTTGTTTGTATTAGCCTAGATATATAGATATTTTTCTGCATTGAGATGTTTTTATGCTTATGCTTTATGAAATCACAAACCCTAGCTTTTCTTTACCCCTAAATTCTATTCTCTGCTTCTTTATCTCCTTCTGGATCCTTGGTTTTGTTTGGAATTTTGTTTTTAAAATTTCAGGTTGTGACATTTTGGTATCAGAGCTCACCATGGTTACTGCATCGACAACAGCCATGGAGGAAAGGATTAGCAGACTGGAAGCCATAGTTATGGAGCAGGGCAGTAGCTTGACAGAAACTAGACAAGCAATGGAGGATAATACCCAAGATCTGAAGGCCCATATACAGCGTTTGGAGAATAATATGCAGATTTGGAAGGATGAAATTGTTGAGCTGCTATGGCTCAATAGACCACCACCACCCTCTATGGAGCCATCCTCAGTTCATGGGCAAGCTCACCACACTCAGTTTAGTCCTGGAGAAGGCAGTGCTGAACCTGGGAGGAGGCAGGGAAAGGAACCTGCTATGGAGGTGCCACCTGAAGTGGAGGAGGTTTCTGAAGAAGAGGAAGGGTTAGGAGAGAACTTCATTGCCCAACCTAGGAACCTTATGGCAGCAGAAAGGCCTTGGGGACCAAGGAGAGTTCATTTTGATGCTAGGCCAAGGCAGAACAACCTAGGAGGGGATCAAATGATGAGGTATAAATGTGAATTTCCATTGTTTGATTATGATAACCCTAGGCTTTGGGTGGTAAGATGTGAGAGGTTTTTTATGCTAGCTAGAATACCCAGGGAAGAAATTATGCATGTTCTATGTGTTAATTTAACTGGTAAAGTGGCTCTGTGGTTTGAGGCTTATTTGAATGGGCTTAGAGAAGGTTTCCAGTGGAATTTGTTTGCCATAGCTGTTTGTAAAAGATTCTGTGATAGTCAAGGGGATGTGATGGAAGAGTTTTCCAGCTTTAAACAATGGGGGAGTGTAGTGGATTTTTCTGATAAGTATGAGGAATATAAGGGATTACTATTGCAGAATTACCCTACTTTAACTGATCAGTACTTTCTAGATAGCTTTGTGGTAAGATTGAAGCAGCAATTAAGGTGTTTTGTAAGAGCATCCAGACCAGCTAACTTAGAGGATGCCATTTGGTTGGCAAGGCAATTTGAAAAGGGGCTCAAGGGGGGAGACTTTCAAAGAAATAATCCTCCTGTGACACAAAAATCAACCTATACTACCCAAAGAACACCAACCAATTCCAGATCCTACAACCCAAAACCAAATGAACCAAACAGAAACCAAACTAGCCAAAACACACCCAGAACCACCTCATCCAATACCTTACAATCTAATGCTAGGACCCCTGAGGTCAACAAGTTCAGGGACCAACTAAGGGAGCAAAATAGATGTTTCAAGTGTTTTGAACCATGGAATCCCTGACACAAGTGTAAGGGACCTACTTTCAACATAATAGAGGGTCAGGAATCACTAGAGAACGCATCAGAAGATGGTGAGGATCCAAATGAGAGTTCTGAAACAATAACAGCCCCAGAGACAGATGAGATTGAAGTAACTATGAATGCTGTGATTGGAGGAGAGGGGTTTAATACCACCAAATTGTGGGGTTCCATCAATAAGCAACCAGTTACAATATTGGTAGATAGTGGAAGTACTCACAGTTTTGTTGATCCCAGGGTGTTAGACCAGCTAAGAATTGTGGTGGATAGGGCAGAAACTCTCATAGTTACAGTGGCTAATAGAGAGAAACTGAGTTGTGAGTCTATGTGTAAAGGGCTGAGATGGCAGATTCAGAAGGAAGAATTTAAAATGGACATGAGAGTCCTTAAGTTGGGAGGATGTGACATTGTTCTTGGTATGGATTGGATTGATATTTATGCTCCAATCCAGTTGCATACCAGGCCACCAGGCATTTCATTTCACAAGGAGGGAAAGAAGGTTCTATTGAAGGGTTTAACCAAGAATATTAGTTTGCAACAAGCTATTAATTAAGAAGGAGGTTAGGAGATGGCAGAAAGAAGGGGTACAAGGCTATATGTTACAAGGATTATTGCAGGAAATCAGCCCTATGGATTTGACAGAAGGAAATCAGCCTGAATTGTCTGCTCTTTTGCTGGATTATCAGAAGTTATTTGAAGAACCAAAAACTCTTCCACCATAGAGACCATTTGATCATGAGATACCATTAGTTCCAGGAGCCAAGCCAGTCAATTCCAAGCCATATAGATACTCCTATTTGCAGAAGAACACTATTGAGAAGATGGTAGAGGAAATGATGACAGCTGGAATAATCTCACCAAGTACTTCCCCATTTGCCTCTCCTGTGTTGCTGGTGTAACACCCCCCAAAAACAAGACCTAAAAACAAGTCTTAACACATGCAGATTAACAACAAAACACTAGCACAGCGGAAGATAGAAAGATAACAGGATAAAAGGAATCCAAAACGGGGTGTTAAGCCACGTATACCACACTTGGCATACGCTACGGCGACAATCTGCAAGTGTATCACTATCCCAAAAACACCAAACTAGAACAATCTAAAGACATTGGCACACAGGCCTCAAAAACACTGTCTAAAGATACAGGTGCTAAGCTACCGGCTCTAGACATCGCGCTCGACTACGCATCACCTGAAAGATACAAAGATAAACATCGGGACGACGCCTGGTCAGCGAAAGATGCTGGTAACCCACCAATACCGTTAAGTATCATAAATAGGTAGATATATAATATGAAAACCATTTTCGAAACAGAATACATATATATAAGTCAAAAGCCAAGATCAAAGGACAACACAAGACTCACCACTCGCAAGGATAACACCGGGAACACATCCCAACAACAAAGGTTAACCACACACAAGGATAAAGACTCACCCAACGGCAACAAATGCCAAAACACCACAAGACTTCGTGACTACACACGTCACGAGAGAAGATCACACAACAACGGCTTCACAAGCCCTCGTGTCACACATCATGAGTTGATATGCCTTCCTTATGCCCTGTTCCAACCTTATGGTTACCCCCAACCTTGTACCTTCAAAGCCAACCATTACCTCCAGAAAACCCCTGTACAGCCAAGTCCAACCTTATTCCGCCGAGACCGTCGTCCCCCACCTATAACCACCAACGAAAACCCACCAATTCACGGCAACACATGCCCGGATAACACAATGTTATCCCCCAAACACGTGGACTCAGCCACAACTCCATAATCACGTCACGGCCACCACGAGGACCGCTGCAATACCTTGGTGACTAGCGTCCCATACCACTAATCGTGCAATCCAGGTAAAGCCACACACGCACCACCACTCACACGAAACAAGCAACGGATTGCAAAAGAGGTATGAAACATACTCAATCAAGAGACGGGTCACCACCCAACGACAACAACGATGCTAGCATTAGGATAATAACTAGCAAGCTCAACAACGGGGAGACTCAAGATAGTTCCGAGGAACACACAAGACACCACACGGTTCAACGAAACACAATGTTGAACACTTAGCACGATTCACAACACCAAAGATCCTACATGGATACCTACCATAAAGCTCTAGACCTACGAAACATCAAGAAGACGCTCAAATAGTTCCACAAAAGAACATCGGGAGGCCAAAAGATCAAAGACCGAGACAAACAAATCACGGGGAACAAATCCCATCACAACACCAACCATGTACCCGCGGGTGGATCCACAGGTAGCGCCCCACCCGTGGTTCCGCCCGCGGGAACATATTCCCACAGGCTATGTACCCGCGGGTAGGCCGGCGGGTGGTGCCCCGCCTGCCGTTCCGCCCGCGGGAACACTCCTGTTCCACAACAAATCCCTTCGGGGATTTTCTTCTCCAAACACAAATTCAAGTCCAAAACATGCCAAATCTCACCAAACACAACAAAATGATTTGAACCAAGGAAAATGCCAAGCAATGGCACAAAGGAATCCTAAACACAAGCTCTAGATATGCAATATCACAAGATAAATGCATAAACACTCACATTTCATAGCAAAACACATATAGAAGCCAAGAAATCATATATAAGTAAGCAAAATAGGTTTTGTAGAGCATGAGTTACCTCTTGAAGACCAAAAGACTCTTCTTACACCACAACAAGCTCTCCACTAAGCTCACTAGCCAAACCCACTTCAAGATCAAACCAAAAGATCATAAAGATCCAACCTTTAAGAAAAAGACAACCAAGATGGAACCAAAAAGACTAGACAAGCTTAGATCTTACCCTTCTAGATGCCAAAATAGAGGAAAGATTGAATCTTGGGAGCAAAACTTGGAATCTTGACAAAGGCTTCTTTTGGCTTGAAGAACAAGCTACACTTCTATTCTAGAGAGAAGGTAGAGATATTTTCTAGGAAATGTAAGGGATGAACAATGAAGAAGTCTTCTAGGTTTAGGTTACAAAACTAGCTCTTGGTGAAAAGACAAGGATACCCTTACTAACTCTTAAAAAGTGTAAGGAACAAGGGAACTCCTCTCAAAGCACAAGGTACAGCACCACTTAAAGATTGACTAGTCAAATACTAGTCCTTGAGTATTAAAAATCAGGATTTTAGGAATCAATTCCTCAAAAGAAATAGAATTAATTACTCAATTAATTCATGGTTTGGAGTGTGGATTTTTGGGGTGTCACATCCTCTCCTCCTTCAAAAAAGTTTCGTC